TGGGTTTCGCTTAATACTGTAAAAGGGTTATCCAAGGTCTTCTGATAGTCAAGCTAAACTCTAGAGTGGATTACTCTGTCTCCTATTGACATGGAAGCCACTAGGTGCCACGACCTTAGCTCTGTGGTTAAGATGCATCTCCTCCTCTCGACTTTTTCCTTGTTCCCAGAATTTCTCTCTCTCTCTATCTTGGAAGAGAGCTGACAGAAAAACACCCTCCTGAAAAATACAGCAAAAGCAGCTCCCTAGGATGCCAAGTTGGTTTTAAATGCAGGCATCATTAACTGCTGCAGAAATATAACAGCCTAATCACAAAAACAGTTATTGACCACTTAAAAGTGCATTAAAACATTGATCAGCATCAACAAGATAATGAATGTTAATCCCCTGTTTGCTGTTGTGTTCCTTCAAGTTTCTGACTTATGGCAACCCTAAATGGTTTTCTTGGCAGTTTGTTCAGAGTGAGTTAGTTTTTGCCTTCTTCTGAAGGCGAGAGAGTGTGACTTGCCAAGGTTACCCTGTGGGTTTCTGTGGTTGAGCAGAGATTTGAACCCTGATCACCAGAGCCATTGCCCAACATTCAAATCAATACACCGCACTGGCTCTCAAATCCCATATAAAGCATCTTTTTAACTGGCATAACAACTACTAAGGAAGATCAAGGAAGAAAGTGCAAAGGCAGAAGTATTGTTGAACATAAAGAAAACAAAAATAATGATAACAGAGAATCTAGATAAATTCAACCTAAACAATGAAGAAATAGAAGTAGTAAAAGAGTCCCCATGCTTGGGATCAAACATTGATAGAAATGAGGACTGCAGTCAGGAAATCAAAAGAAGATTAAGAATGGGGAGGATGGCTATGAAAGAATACAAAAGATCCTAGAATGGAGAGGATGGCTATGAAATAATACAAAAGATCCTAAAATGCAAAGATATACAACTGAATACGAAAGTTAGAATTGTACAAGCCATTGTTTTCCCTATTACCATTTATGGGATGTGAGAGCTGGGCAGTTAAGAAAGACGTAAGGAAGAAAATAATCTCATTTGAGATAATGTGTTGCTGGAGGAGAGTGCTGAGCATCCCACGGACAGCCAAAAAGACCAACAGTATGTCCTAGAGCAGATCAAGCCAGAGATCTCCCTAGAAGCCAAGATGACAAAACTGAGTCTGTTGTACTTCGAACACATCATGAGAAAACATGAATCACTGGAAAAAAAACAATAATGCTAGGAAAAGTGGAGGGAAGCAAAAAGAAAGGAAGGACACATGTTAGATTGGGGGTAGGCAACCTTTTTGAGCCGGGGGCCGGGTTGCTGTCCCTCAGACAATTGGGGGCCGAAGCACCAAAAATAATAAATAAATAAATAAATATAAAAATTAAAAAAATTAAAAATTAAAAATTTAAAAAATATGCATGCACACTCTCTCAGCCCCAGAAAAGCCATGGCAAAACCCCTGTGGAGATTTTGCCAAGAAAACCCCAAGAACAAGTAGGCGGGGGGGGCGGGGGCGGTGGCAGGACTGGCCTGGGGCCGGTCCAAAGGCCTCGGGGGGCCACATCTGGCCCCCGGGCCTTAGGTTGCCTACCCCTGTGTTAGATGGATGGCCTCTATTAGGGAGGTCACACGTATGAGTTTGCAGGACCTAAACAGAGCAGAGGAGGACAGGAGTCTTGGAGATGTCTCATCTACAGGGTACCCATAGGTTGAGATCGGCTCGAGGGTAGTTAACAATAATAAACCCCAAAGCCATAGTCCTACACTCAAATCATTATACTGCACTGACTCTCAAATCCTCCATACAGCATCTTTTTAACTGGCATAACTTAAGAGACTGAGCATCTCTAAGAAGGCAGTTGTCTTCCCAGCACACCTGATGAAAAGCTCCACATAACTCAAAACCTCTTACCTTTTGGAAAACATGGCTTCTGAACACCATCTCCATTCTACCTCTTTTCCTCTTTTGCAGCAGGAGCCTATTTTCTTCCACTTGCATCTCCCAGGGTGATGGTGGTAGATGAAGTGCCCAGGATGCAAACACAAAACACACACGCAGAGAACACAAAATGGTGCCCCATGTTGCGTGCGTGCTAGAAGGGCAGCGGCAGCAGCAGCGCGGCGGCAACAGCGGAGGCAGGACCAGCCACGGGCTGGTTCAAAGGCCTCGAGGGGCCGGGTTCGGCCCGTGGGCCATAGTTTGCCGACCCCTGTTCTAATCTAACCCCCTGCCACACAGGAATCAGCAACTAAAGCACTGCTGAGATATCCCCATCCAATTGCTATTTAAAGATCTCCGAAGAAGGAGAGTCCACCATCTGAACTGTTAACAAGCATCTCCTCTCCATTGGACTACGACTCTGGAGATCAGGGTTCAATTCCCAGCTTGGCCATGAAACCCACTGGATGACCTTGGGCACGTCACATGCTCTCAGCCTCAGGGGAAAGCAATGGCAAACCTCTTCTGGACAAATCTTGCCAAGAAAACCCCACAATAGGTTCACCTTAGGGTCGCCATAAGTCAAAATTGACTTGAAGGCACACAACAACTACCTCTCCCTCCAGGCATAAAACCATTCCTTCCCACCTTGAAAATGTTTTTCTGTTCCCCAACAGAAAACCACTACTGAGTCTTTCCAACCTCCAGCATATCTCCTGTTTCACATCCCAATCATAAACCCATGCCTGCCCATCCATAGTCATAGAATCATAGAATCATAGTTGGAAGATATCCTAAGGGCCATCTAGTTCAACCCCCTATCATGCAGGAACACACAATCAAAGCACCCCAGACAGATGTTCCCTTAAGAATTACCCAATATTGAAAATACCTGACAGCATGGGGTCTGGAACCACAACTTGTGTGTGGCTCTTTTTGCTTGCAATTCAGCTGAACTGACAAGGGAGTGTGGTTTTTATTCCCCAACCCACTCCCTTTTCGAGGGAGGGACAGGAGACAGCTATAGGATGGGAAGAAAGAAAGAGAGCACTAATGTACTCTTTGCTCAACCCTAATTTGAGAAACTCAAGAAAAAAAGGCATTGTTGACTTACCTGTGGACCTTGCAAGAATATCACCTGCAGCAAAAGGGAAACAAGATCAAAAGGGAAGATTCCCTTCCAACAAAACGTGAGCCTGTCTTGACTTTAAAAAAACCACAAAACTATTATGTATAATAATCTTTATTCAAAAATTAACACATAAGTAAACAGACATAAACACTGACACAAACTCACACATAAACATACAAAAATCCCCTTTCGCTTCCCTCTTCCCCCCTTTAAAAGACTTCCCGCTTTTTCTCTACCTGGTTTCTTAAATAATAATATTCTCTTCCTTCCTTAGGTCTTTTAAATTCCTCTTTAACCTGTGCTTGCTTTTTCAAACAGTGCATCCCCTGCCTTCAGACATCTTCTGCCTTGCTCCTCTGAATGGGTGATTCCATCAATCTTCCATGAAACTTTTGAAAACTGGGGAGAGGGACAGATAACAATGCAAAGCACCTAAGCTGTCAAAGCCTGCATCCGCACTGCAGAAATAATCCAGTTTGACACCACTTGAACTGCCATGCCTTAATGCTATGGAATTTGGGGCATGGTCGTTTGTTGGGTCACCAATGCCCTAACAAAATACCATGCTCAGAATTCCATAGCACTGAGCCATGGTAGTTCAAGTGGTGTCAAACTGGATTATTTCTGCAGTGCGGATGCAGCCCCTGTGGGAGGTGGGGCTCATTGAACCCATCCTGTGGAAAAGCTGTCCCAATGGAAGGGGGTGTGATTTGTGTTTCCTGCAGAGGGTGGTGGTGCTGCATAAATCCTGCCTTCAGCCTTGACCCTTCTTGTCATCCCACCTGTTGCCCATCCGCATGCTAAAATGGCTCTAATGACGTTACCAGAGCCTTTGTGTCCAGCAGGTGCACCAAATCTCCAAGAACCTTTTTTAAAAAAGAAACCTGTTTTGATCCACCCTCAGAGAGACAATTGTCTCTCTGCCTCTCACTCCCTGGCTCTCCTCGGCCCCCATGATCCTGTGGTGCGTGGGCCAGACTTACAAGGCATCTGAAAATAGATGGGGGCATGTTTTGGGGATGCCAGTGTAGTGTAGTGATTTGAGCATTGGACTATGAGTCTAGAGACCAGGATTCGAATCCCAGCTCGGCCATGGAAACCCATTGGGTGACCCTGGGCACGTCACACACTCTCAGCCTCAGAGGATGGCAATGGCAGACTCCCTCTGAAGGAACTTGATAAGAAAACCCCATGATAAGGTTCGCCTTAGGGTCGCCATAAGTCGGAAGCAACTTGAAGGCGTACGACAACAACAGCAGGATATGTTTTGGGATAATGAGACTGGGGGGAGAGTTTAAAATTAAAGTGAAAACAAGAAGTGGAGACACAGGTGGGATATTTAGGAACCTGGGTTCAGTGGCAGGTGTTCAGGCTGGAGCTCCTGTGGTGGAGGATGAGCAGAGGCAAATCCAAGGTTGTGTGTGTTGTGTACCTTCACGTTGTTTCTGACTTATGGCAACCCTCAGGCGAACCTCATCATGGGGTTTTCAAGGTTACCAGACACCAAACCCAACAACATTTAGTTTGCTACTCAGCATTTGTTGTTCTTGTTCACGTGCACCTTCAAGTTGTTTCCCATTTATGGCGACCCTATCACAGGGTTTTCTTAGCATTAGCAATAGCATAGTATTTACATTTCTATACCACTTATCAGTGAACTAGCACTTCCTAAGTGGTTTACAATGTGTAAGCCAATTGACCCCAACAAGTTGGGTACTCATTTACCGACCTACGAAAGGATGGAAGGCTGAGTCAACCTTGGAGCCCTGGGAACGAACTCACAACCTTGTGTTTGCAGGACCAGCATTTAACCACTGTGCCACCAAGGGTCCTTTTCTTGGCAAGATCTGTTCACAGGAGGTTAGCCATTGCCTTCCTCTAAGGATGAGAATGTGTGACTTGCCCGAGGTCACCCAGTAGTTTTCTGTGGCTGAGCAGGGAATCAAACCCTAGTCTCCAGAGTTGTAGTCCAATGTTCCATCCACTACACCACGCATCCTCCCCTGCAAAATCTAATTGCCTCGATACTTCCCCAGCGGATTTCACTATGGTATGTTGGGGAATTAGGTGACCAAAGTGCCCATCTGCCCAAATAGTTGGGCCATCTCTATCCCTGGGTCTGGTCTGAGAAGTCCTGACTTATCACAGTGCCATTTTCTACAGCAGGGGTAGGCAACCTTTCCCCTTTAAGGGCCGAGGGACTTCAGCTCCCAGAAGCCTCAGCCATGTTGGCCAATAGTCCCATGTTGGCCAATAGCTCCTGGGATTCTGGGAGCTGAAGTCCCTCGGCCCTTAAAGGGGAAAGGTTGCCTACCCCTGTTCTAGAGAGTCACACATTTAAGCCCCAGAAAATCCTTTCACAGAAAGCCTATGTTGTGGTCTTTTTTGTTGTTGTTTACTGTCTTAGAATCACCATAAATCAGAAATGACTTGAAGACACACAACAACAACACAATGGAGGAGGGATACAGGTGCTGCTCAGTGCCCTCTTTGGAGGAATGCAAGAGGAGTCCATTGGTGTTATTCAGGTGGAAGTTAAGGATTGAAGGACAAGAGTCATAAGTCCAATGCTCCAACCACTACACCATGCATCCTTTTTTGCAAAATCTAATTTCTTCCTTTATTCTTCCACAACTGATTGGAATGTGGATGTGTTGGGGATTAGGTGAGCAAAGTTCTCATCTACTCAAATTGTTGGGCCACCCCTACATCTGGTTCTGGTCTGAGAAGTCCTTGATTTACCACAATGCCATTTTCTAGGCTATCCCCGGAGTGGGCATTGCTAGGGCATGGAGGTGGCACATTTATGATAACATTGGCACCATGGGTGAGTAAAAACATAGTTTTTGGCCAAGCAAGTGGGCAGGGAATGGAGTTTTGTGGACATTGAGAGCCAGTATGGGGGAAGAAAAGAAGGCCAGAGTGGTGTAGTGGATTGAGCATTGGACTATGTCTCTGGAGATCAGGGTTCAGTTCTCCAGTCAACCATGAAAATCCACTTGGTGATCTTAGGCGAGCCACACACTCTCAGCCCCGAAGACCCTGTGACAAGGTGGCCTTAGGGTTGCCATGAGACAGAAACAATTTGAAGGCACACAACAACAACACAATGATGGAGAAATACAAGGGCTGATGCTCAGTGCCATCTTTGGAGGAACGCAAGAAGAGTCCAT